GCACTGCCAGCGAAGGATCGAACGCAACTTTTGTTTGAACAAACGCTCCTTTTTGTAACATCCAAAAAATGGCTTTTTTGTGGTCTGTTGAGGAAGTACAGACGTTCCTCTCGTTGATAGCCGAGGAGCGGATCCAGCGAGAGCTTGATGGGGCGACGCGGAATGAAAAAGTTTTTCAGGAGGTTGCTCAGCTCTTGGCTGCACACGGCTACCACCGGACCTACAAACAATGTAGGGATAAGTTTAAAAAAACTGAAGAGCGACTACAGAACCATAAAGGACCACAACAGCCGGAGTGGTTCAAACAGACGATCGTGGAAGTGGTTCGACCAAATGGACGCAATCTACGGAGGTAGACCAACGAGCATTGGGAGGGAGGGTGCCCTGGACTCGGCCACGCCGTTGTTGGAGAACACGATCGAGGATGGTACGTTGTGTTATGTTAACTAAAATCTAACGCTTGAAAGCTTAACTGTACTGACTTTATTGACCATTGATTCCGATTTTATTTTTTTATTTTCACTGTAAAATCATGGCAATGAAGCACAAAGTCATAGTAACTAACAGTTAGCGGTAGTGCTATTGTTCATGATGTTCTGGAGTTGTTGTTGCTGTTTTACTTTGTGTTGCAGTAATTTGTGCTTTCCCAACTGATTGTACAAACTGTGCGTTTCAGACTCATTGTCCACGATCGATTCACTTGCACTTTCTCCATGCAACGACGACGACTCTTCCCAGCCAGTGATAGCAACGTCTCCACCACGACTGCCAACACCATCACCAATAACCTCCAGCTGCACGACGACACTGCAGCGTGTGGTCACAGGTATAAAACAAATTTGATGTATTTCATGTCATAATATGTACATATAGGATATATATCGTTATATACCGTGTGTCATGAATTCCTGTTGCTTACCATAAATACATTATTGGTAGCTACTGTAAATGTAATGTTAGATCATTTAAGCATGTTACTGTACAGTTCTTTCATAAATGAATGCATACAAATCCACAGTAAAGAAAAACCTCCCATTTCTAACTATTTTCTTCATTTTGGACCAGGCAAGCGGAAACGGAGCCTGCACCATCAGGAACATCTTGCGGTGTTAAGAGAAATGCAGGTGGCAGACATTCAGCAACAGGAGCTGAACCGTGCCCAGAGGGAGCACCACTTGCAGATGGCACTTGAAGAGGCCAGACAAGCGAGGGAGCAGGAAGCTGCCTTGAGGGCAGAGGAACACTCTCAAACTGCTGCTTTCAATCAAGCATTACCGCCAACACCATCACCATCAACCTCCAGCTGCACGACGACACCGCAGCGTGTGGTCACAGGTATAAAACAAATTTGATGTATTTCATATGTCATATGTACATATAGGATATATATCGTTATATACCGTGTGTCATGAATTCCTGTTGCTTACCATAAATACATTATTGGTAGCTACTGTAAATGTGATGTTAGATCATTTAAGGATGTTACTGTACAGTTCTTTCATAAATGAATGTATACAAATCCACAGTAAAGAAAAACCTCCCATTTCTAACTGTATTTTCTTCATTTTGGACCAGGCAAGCGGAAACGGAGCCTGCACCATCAGGAACATCTTGCGGTGTTAAGAGAAATGCAGGTGGCAGACATTCAGCAACAGGAGCTGAACCGTGCCCAGAGGGAGCACCACTTGCAGATGGCACTTGAAGAGGCCAGACAAGCGAGGGAGCAGGAAGCGGCCTTGAGGGCAGAGGAACACTCTCAAACGGCTGCTTTCAATCAAGCATTCCTCAACGTTATGGGGATGCTTGTCCAGGCAATGAGTGGCCGAAGAGAATAGAACTGTCTGGCCAAATAATGCCATAGGCATTTATTGTGTTTTTGCACCTTTTTTTTGTACTTTGATAACGTTTAAATGTATTTTTGTTGTATTTATGTCTTTTGTATATCCGTTTTGCACTACATACATTTGCACATTGTTTAAAGTTTGCTGCTTACATTTTCACTTAAATTTTTTTCATGTATATCAGACAATAGTTACAGTTCTTGCACAAGGTACACTGGCACATTGTTTAAAATTTGCTTTTTATATTGTAATTTAAACATACATTTGCACATTGTTTAAAGTTTGCTGCTTACATTTTCACTTACATTTTTTATGTATATCAGACAATTGTTTACAGTTCTTGCACAAGGTACACTGGCACATTGTTTAAAATTTGCTTTTTATATTGCAATTTAAACTTTATTTATGCCTTATGTATATACTTTTTGCATTTTGTTATTTCATTATTTGTTATATTTTTATAGTAGGTTTTCTGTTTATATTTTTACCTTTGTATTTGTGTTTTGCTTCAATAAAATCTATGATCAAATAAGTGTACCTCCTTACTATATTAAATATTTCATATTTTATGAGCAGGTAATGTACCTCTTGATAAAGACAAATTATTAATGCCATAATGATACAAACCAAGGCATAAAAAACAAAAAAAAACAAACAAGGGATACATTTTAAACTTTGAAAAATTGTACAAAAGTTTATTGAAAATTCACTTTACAGAACAGGCTACATGAATAGTTAACTATTCAAGTAACGCATCAGACCTGCACGAACATCCCTGCCCTCCTCCTCTACAGCCTGTGGCACTGCCACCACGGTCTCTGCTGCTGGTGGTAAATCCCAAGCATTCACATAGGCCTCTCCATGACTCTCACAAAGGTTATGTAGAGCACAACATGTCAGCACCATGGATTTCACAAGGTTGACAGCACAGTCATTTCTTTTCATGAGGCATCGCCATCTTCCTTTTAATCGACCAAAGGCATTTTCAACAACTACGCGTGCTCTGCAGATTTTCATGTTGTAGACCTGCTGTTCTGCTGTCAGGTGTCCAGTGTCAATGAATGGTTTTAAGAGCCAGTTCTGCAAGGGATAGGCAGAGTCTCCTAGGATGTAGTAGCCAGCAGTCACCCCACCTATGTTTCTGGTGTTAGCTGGTATGTGGTTTCCACGGCTTGCCAACTCCCACAGTGTTGACAGTCTCAAAACCCGAGCATCATGCAGGCTTCCAGGCAGTCCTGTGAAAACATTCCAGAAAAGTCCCTTTCCATCCACAACACCTTGAAGGATGATGGAATGCCAGCCTTTATGGTTGAAATAGTCACAGTGATATTCCTCTGGCGCTATGATGGGGATGTGTGATCCAACAATAGCACCAATACAGTGTGGGAGTCCCCACCTGTTCTCAATGTAGGCAGCCATTTCTTTAAACTTTTCCTGATCTGGATAACGAATTTGCTCTGGTACCAACAGGGTTTCTGCTGCTGCACAGAACTCCTGAACACACCGACACACAGTTGTTATGCTTACACCAAAAAGATGTCCAACACTTCTGTACTCAGCGCCGGTTGCAAGCTTCCACAGTGCGATGGCTACTCTTTTCTTTAGAGGTACACACACGCGGAAGTTTGTGTCCCGTCTCTCCATCGCTGGACGCAGTTTGTTGCATAAGTGGATAAATGTTTCTTCGGACATTCTAAAGTTCTCCAGCCACTGAGTGTCTGTAAAACCGGGAACAATCACATCCCACCACTCTGAAGCTCGGTTAAATGTCCAAACATATGTTGCGGCGACTTTTTTGCAAAATGTGGAAGCTCTGTAATACACAGAATACGCATTTTAATATGTTATACAGGCAGATAAGTTCATTATTTGCTTTGCGACAGAGATAAAAGTTAGCTAGTGATGTGCTTTTAGATGCTTACCCTTGCGCGCCGTCAAGCAAACCAAGTTTTGTCGTCGTCTGCGTGTTGTTGTAAGAGTTCCCGAACTCTTTTGTATTTTTTAGCTGTTTAGTTTGGCTGCCATCTGCCTCTTTTGAAACAAACCTCTTCGTCTTGCAGTTAAAAACATCCACATGCTGAGAATGAAGAACACCATTCCATCGATATGCTCCATTGTTGTGTGTTTGTTTGTGGCGCGTTTATGATGATGTCATGGCAGTACAGGCGGCGCAACCAAAACGGCATGTGAATAATCCCGCCCACTCTAAAACGGTACTAAACTGCAGTGGAAACGCAAACCGAGCCGAGCCGTGCCGTACTGACCCGTACCGAGCCATACCGTGCCGTACCATGCAGTGGAAAAGCACCATATATGAACTGATAGGTAACACTGTGGGCCCACACACACAGTTAAAACATGCACACTCTCACAACCCACCCCGGAGCAGGCCTGAATCGTGGCTTGAGAACGTAGTGGCCGGGAAATGGAAAACTGGCCTCTTCACTCTCCTGAGTGTAAAACAAAAGCAAACAAGTGTACCTGAATTCCTTTATGAACTGTGAAATGATCGCGAAACACAGTGGTAGGCCTCATGCAGATCCTCGTCCTGCGCTGTCACTGGCGGCCGATGTGGGTCACACTCCAACGCAATCAGAGGAACCCCAGACCTCACTGTGATCTGGGGCGCTATCTGGTCTCCTTCGGGTCAATTACACGATGAATTCACGAAGATTTCAGTCCTTTTGTCCTTTCTTGAAAGTTATTTTTGACGATAACTTGAAGCACAGTCTGTTTCAGTGCTATTTATGAGCGAATGACGTAACCGCAATAACGGAAAAAACTGTACACTCAGAATTCAAATATGAACAACAGAATTAACTCAACCACTCGTGTAAACACACGCACTATATACACTTCAAAGTATTAATACGATGATCTATCGATTTACTGTATTTTCTGCAATCTGTCAGCTCAATCGTTCCGATCAGCTCTCTCCCCAGCTGCTGCACATCACTTGTCTCTCCCCCTCCTCCCGTATTAACCACTCAAAATGTTCTATTTTCCCGGGAGGGAGGGACTTAACACATACCAACCAATGAAAATAAAGAAAACCTAACTTGCTCGTTAATACCACGTTTTTCACATGTGTATAGCAATCAAATCATACGCGTTCAATCAGTGCAACATTTTTTTCTCTTAACCCTTTTCTTTGTTTTCTCTCCACAGGTCCTGTCCTGGTCTCTGGCGGTGCAGAAACTTTCCTGGGGTCTTCAGGAACGGACAACCTCACTTCACCTCCAACAGGTAAGAGATGATCTCTGTGTAAAGTCCTTACACCTCCCATCCCTGATTCAGGTTTCAGACGGTATACAGGTAAGTTATTCAGCTTTTCTACCACCAGGTAGGGTACAGAATTCCATTTGTCGGTGAGTTTGTGTTTTCCAGTCAATGCCAGATTTTTTATCAGCACCCAATCTCCCACTGATAGAGTCTGATGTTTCACTTGTTTGTCATACAATCGTTTATTCCTCTGTTGACTTTTGAGGGCAGTTTCAGTTGCTAACTGATAGGCTCTCTGCAACTCTGACTTAATTCTCTCCACATATTGGTGATGGTTACTGGCTCCCACCCCATCAGGCGACATCCAGAAACATGGATCCACTGGCAGACGAGCCTCCCTTCTGAAGAGCAGATAATATGGTGAATGCCCAGTGGCCTTGTTCTTAGTACAGTTGTAGGCGTGTACTAATCGATTAACATGTTGACTCCATCTGCTCTTCTCTGCAGGATCCAGCGTACCAAGCATGGAAAGAAGCGTTCTGTTGAACCTTTCAGGCTGTGGGTCACCTTGGGGATAGTAGGGCAAAGTCCTTGATTTACGTATCCCAAGCATTCTCAGCAGCTCCTTTATGAGACCACTTTCAAAATCCCACCCCTGGTCTGAATGGATACAGAATGGTAGGCCGTAGTGAACAAAGAATTTGTCACACAGTATCTTCGCCACTGTTAGAGCTCTCTGATCTTTAGTTACAAACGCTTGGGCGTAACGGGTGAAGTGATCTGTGATGACTAGGACATTACCCATGCCTCTTAAGTCGGGTTCAATTGACAAGAAGTCGATGCACACTAAATCGAAAGGCCCACTGCTGGTCATGTGATGTAAGGGTGCAACCTTCTTGGATAAGGTCCTGCGTGCTATACAACGGCCACAATTCTTGACATAATGCTCAATGTACACAGACATTCTAGGCCAATAGAAGCGATCCTTCAGGAGTTCTGTAGTTCTCTCTACTCCTAAATGGCCTGAATCATCATGCAAGGAACGCAGGACTTGAGACCAGTACTTTTTAGGTAAGACGAGTTGTTTCTTTTCTCTCCCACAGGAGCTTTTGGTAACACGGTGCAGAAGTTGGTTCTGGATCATCAGCTTGGGACCTTGACGTTGTAGCAGAGCAACAGTGGCATCGGAACTCTTAACAACGGTAAGTATTTTCCCAGACTCCACATCTCTCTTCACTCCACTAATTACAGTATCCTCCTCTTGTGCTTTCCTTAACTCAGCATGAGTCAACTGTTCCGTAAGGCTAATACCAAGAGCTGTAGGACATGAGAACGCCTCCGGAACACTCTGAGGTGAAACACCTAACTGGTCTACCAATCGCAAGGATGACTCTTCGCTTTCCGTAATTACAGCTAATTGACAGATGGCCTTCACCCCAGACTTAGGTATCTCAGTCCATCCATAGTCATTGCATGAGTCACATGGATAACGGGACAGCATATCCGCATCGATGTTGTGACTTCCTAGCTTGTACTGCAAACTGAAGTTGTAGGTTGATAAGGCAGCCAACCAGCGATGACCTGTCGCACTCAACTTGGCAGTGGACAAGACATAGGTGAGGGGATTGTTGTCAGTCTTCACCACAAACTGTGCGCCGTATAAGTAGTTGTGGAGCTTGTCCACTACCGCCCATTTGAGTGCCAAGAACTGATGAATGGGGTAACATTGCTCGGATGCACTCAGTTTTCGGCTTGCGTAAGCCACGGGTCTTAAACCATTCGGGTGTTTCTGATTCAGTACAGCGCCCAACCCATTCATGCTGGCGTCTAAATGAAGGATATACAGTTTGGTGGGGTCAGCAAAAGCAAGTACTGGTGCGTGTGTGACGGAATGAATGATCTTGTGGAAGGCTGATGTACATGCGTCATCCCAACGCTCTCCAAAAGGGTCGGATTCCTTGAAATACTTTGTTCCATCCTTTGCCTTCTTGTTGTGACCAGATGTTGGCGGGTACCCTTTGGTGAGTTCGGTCAACGGCCTCATGATGGCTGAATAACCCTATATGAAGCGCCGATAAAACCCACAAAAGCCCAGGAAAGATCTCAGTGACTTCAGGTCAGTGGGCATCTTCCAGCGAGTTACAGCTTCTATCTTGGTGGGGTGGTGACACTCCAGCATCTGACACAATGTGCCCAACGTACCGGACTTGGGATTGACAGAACTGGCACTTATCAAGGGATATCTTCAGCCCACACTCACTCAGATGGTCTAAGACTTTCAACAGTCTCTCTTCATGTTCTTCCAGTGTGTGGCCGAACACAATGATGTCATTGAGGTATACAATGACTTGGAGAAGGTGCATGTCACCCACGGCTTTCTCCATAAGCCGCTGAAATGTGGCTGGAGCTCCAGTAATTCCTTGTGGCATCCGCTCAAACTGGAAGAATTCCAGGGGACAGATGAATGCATTTTTTTTCTTATCCTCCTCCACCATGTCGATTTGATAGTATCCACTGCGAAGGTCCAGTATGGAAAACCATTTGCTTCCCACCAAGCAGTCCAGGGCATCATCGTTCCATGGTGTGGTGTACTGATCAGGGATTGTACGAGCGTTTAGAGTACGATAGTCGATGCACATCCTTATGGACCCGCTCTTCTTCCGGGCTACCACAATGGGTGATGCATATGGACTTCTCGACTCCTTAACCCTCTCGGGTCCGAGGGTGTTTTGGGGCCCTGGAGAAGTTTTGACATGCCCTGACATTTGTGCTTTTTGCAGTTGCTAATAAACATTTTAATGGCTAAGTTTAGTAGCACCATAATCAGCACAAACTGGGCTACAATAATATGTGGGCAGCATGTATGTATGTGATTGTGTTTTTGAGAAAACAACGTTTATGCGTGCTTAGTGAAAAACTACCATTTTAAAGTCACTGAAATAAGGCCATAAAACACATACAGAACATTTGTTCACAAGACTTTTGAGAACTGATCTTGAAGTCTAGAGTTTTTGCTTCAGAATGTGATAATCATCTTGTTTACTCACTCACAGGAGAATATCCTATCACAGTAAAGTTTTGACTAATCATTCTTACTGACATTAGGCTCGTAACATTATAACTCATATTACTTTTATATCGTATTTCTGTCTGTTATAAAACATAAAAAGCACATCCTGGCATCGTGACATTTAGATGCTGTGAATGAAACTTCATAATGTTTCACTTGATTATACATTTAGTCAGGAATTATAGTTTGGAGAAAGTCTAACTAGTAAAATGTGTACAAGTTATGTGAAAACTAATACAAGTAGGTTAATAAAAAAGACTTACTCATGTTTATGATCACTGCTGGATCAAGCCGCTGCATTGTTTTTTCCTGAGGTAATCCAAAGCTTCTTGAGGTGAATTCTGTCTTATTA